GAATTGTTAGAAGTTAGTAAGACGAGGGAAGTAGGTCGAAGTGTTAGGAATTAGTGGGAGGAGGGAGTTGGGTAATTATAGGGTTACACGATATTTAGTTGCCGAATTATGCCTGCTTTCTACTCTGCAGTACTGGAGCTCAGAGCCTCTGAGAAATCATCATCTCGGAAACTCTGAGAAATGCCAGCTGCATATTTTTGCTTCAATCGTTCCTATGCAGAAACTGGCTTGTTTAGGTCCGAACAGTAGTGAAAGAAACATTGCATTACGATACACGTGTGACCGTGCTGGGACACGTACAGCGTGGCGGCAATCCGTCGGCGTTCGACCGATTGTTGGGCTGTCGAATGGGCGCGGAAGCAGTGCTTGCATTGATGGAAATGACACCGCAATCCGAGCCATGCGTTGTTTCAATCGATGGCAATATTATGGTTCGCGTCCCCCTGATGCAATGTGTCCAGCGTACGCAGGCGGTCAGTTTGAACTGATTCATTTTTTTACTGCTTTGGGGCGGAAGGTTCAAAGAATTGTCCGAAACAGCAGGGCTACATGTCGATAGCACCTAAATATCCACAGTGTTGATTTGAGCGGTCGTCTCGGTTCCACTCCTCATATGTTGTCATTCCTGAGCACTCTGTAGCAAAATGAATTTAAATTTTCGAAAAACTCACTAATGCCCCTAGGTTTTTGTTTAGCCTATTATCCATAATTCTGAATTTTAGGTCAAAAAAGCAATGGATGATCATGACTGGGAAACAGCTGTAAAACTCCGAGGACGTAGCTTTCAGCGGAATCTTGAAACATACCGTCTTTTAACGAGACTGCAGCCAAAGAAAAAACATGTCGATCCGAGAGCTACAGGCCTCAATCTGGCTGTTATTAATGTCGGCGCTCCTGCTGGTGGTTAGCCTTTAATGGAAATTCTTTTTCGGCCATCTTCAGGTTGATTATTGAACTTATCGAAAAAGTCATATTTTGTTAGTTTAGCAGTTAGACTGGGTTCACTTTGGTGCACTCTTGGCAGTTAGGTCGAGTTGGTTGGAGATTTTGCAATAAAAGTGATCCAGTTGAATGGAGATTGGGGAGGGGTGGGAGGAGGGAGGAGTTTTAATTGGGTGTAGATTTAGCAGCTGGACTAATTCGATCGAATAAGGCTTTGGCAATCAGATTGGCCTAATTAAGGATTTCTTGGCAACTAGCCTGATTCAGTTGAATTGCAGTTAAATTCATCTAATTGGCATTTACACTGATCGAATTGTATACACGCTTAGCAGTAAGAATTGATCCAGTTGAATGAATTAATTACAAGTCAGATGATGTAAAAGAATTACAGTTTACCAGTTCAACTGGATGGCAAATATGCATGAAGTCTGGTTGAAATGGATGAAATATTAAAAATTAGACTGATCTGATTGAGTATAAAGTTATCCAGCCATTTAAGGTTAAATGGAAATTTTGTTGGAAAATGGATGATAGAAAAGGTAAAAAGGTGAAGAAGGGGAAGGTGTAAAAAAGAAAAAGTGTTAAATTAGTTAAGAAATGTTTCGGTCCATTAAGTCGTATACATTTCTTACCGTTACCACAGTTGGACCTCGTCACTATGACGACTGTGGTAACTATGTAATTTAATTAAGAATAAGAATTAATTGAGCAAAAGGCATGAATGGTGTGGTACGCTTTTACGGTACGCTTTGTTAATGCTGTGGTACGCTTTGTTAGTTTTTTAAAGCAAATGTAGCCCTTTTAAAGGCATGAATGCTGTGGTACGCTCTTACGTTCGTATGGCACTGCATAATGGATGCAGAGTTTATGGGATCAAAAACTCATTTGAAGGGCTTATCTCTGGGGATATTAAGGCAGGCTTGTTACATTCCTTTTAATGATTTCTTTTTTTGTATTTTTTGCATTTTCGCGGTGGTTTATCTCTTGCAAAATTCGGACTCAGGCATCTTATCTCATGGTGAATTAGTGACAGCGAATTAAACACAGTTGAGCCACGGCTATATGCAAGCTCTAAACATGTTGAGAAGGCCGTATCTTGTATCGTTTGCCTTAGCTCGGCCAGTACAGACCACTGTGAGCCTTCACAGCGATTGGTAATGCAGTAAAGATCAAGCAGCTATGCAGTGTATTGGTACGGAAGAGTGTGGATGCAGAGAAATTGGGCTCCGGCACTTTGCGCAGCCTTTGCTCCAGTTTACGGCAGGAGTCAGTAGCAATGAGCAGGGGGTGTGCTAAGAATTTTTCTAAAGTGTTTTTGACGTATAAGAGCATCCTAGGAAAATCAACATCATGTAACATACAGGTTGTCGGAGTGATTTTAGTACACGTAGTTTATTTCTTTGCGGTAAAAATGTACTTATGTATTGTATTACGATTAGCTATAGTTTACGGTTTACGAATACGCAGCTGGCAGCTTTGGTTGCTTTAACCAATGCTTCATTGCCTGGTAGTTAGCCTGCTGGTAATCCTGGCATTTGTTTCATCTTCTGAAAGAATTATCAGCCCAACGGCTTCCCGAACAGGAAAACTCAACAAGGCTTTAGGGATCTCGATATGTGCAGGAACATTCTTCACACTTATTTTGATTATGCGGACATATTTCACGGTATATTTTGACCTATGTAGGCACTTTACACTGTTTTGGTTGACCCAGAAGCCTGGTTTAACACTCCAGTCTACCGCAGTTCATTTCTGCGAATATTTGGCTATAGGAAAAAACGTGGTAATTTTTATTGTTGCGAAGTATCTTTTCGAAACAGTGCTGTAAATTTGGACTGAACGTTTTTTGCAGGAGATGAATTGGGGTGACGTCTCAAACTGGGTGATGTATGGCGGTTCTTTCCTTGGCACACAGAAACAGCTACCGGAAAAGAACATGAAACTGGTGGCGGCTGCGTTTGCTAAATACAATTTCCATGGTTTATTGCTTGTTGGAGGATTTGAGGTAGCTGCTTTATGATGAATCGATTTTCTTAAGTCAAAGAAAAAGGAAATTAAAGATTATTCTCTGTCAGTTCGCCTGAATTCCTTAGGTTTAATAGTGCCATGCACACACACACTGATATTTTTATGCATTCAAAATGGAAATCTTCGTATTTGGAAATTTGACACCTCAACTAGCTCCCCAACTCATTTTCGAGACCTTTTGTTTGGTACCATGCCTTATCTGTGCTGGCTTTTTGTTACGGTTTAGTTGGATTTTGTCTTCCCTCTTTGTACTCTTTCAGGTAGTTCTTATGTCTTTTTATCAAAATTTGACACTTCTCGAATTTGCGCTCCTTTTTTTTGTCCATGGAAATTTTTTTTACGTTTTCGAAGGATAAAAACAGA